TCTTATTTACACTAAGTTTACTTGCTCATTAAGGATTATTTTAGATAACATAAACATCACATTAACATAGTATACCATTATTAAGGTTTCTTGTTTAGCCCTAGCTATCGTCTTATCAATCGAATCACTAAGGGTTATAATCTAGAACACATACGTTATATTAACCAATTAAACCTCTGTAAACCGTATCCCTCAACTGGTGAGTATCCAAGTGTCTTTGTCAATTATCTTAGATGACATAAGCACACCACGAGTACAAATATGTACCATTAACCACTAGTGTATCCTACATTATGTTCATCTATTGGTGAGTATCTAAGTGTTTCAGTAAAGTATCTTAGGTTACATAAGCACACCATTTCGTTGCATTCAGTGAGTATCCAAGTGTTTTGTCGGGTATATTAGGCTACACAAGCACATTGTTCAATTGCATTCAATGATTATCCAAGTGTTTCCGTCAGGTATCTTAAGATACACAAGCACACCATTTACTATACGAGGAAACACGCCTCTAAATACAAACTAGGTTTCATCAGTCAAACTATACGAGACAACACACCTCTAAATACAAACCAAGGTTCATAAGTGGTACAACTTTCAATAAAATCCCAAATATCATCATCAAATACTTTAGACGATACTTGCTTACCATTTTGTATCATACGACACACACATATCCTTATGAACAATTAGGGTTTTAGATGAGTCTAAGTTATTCATTATAGCATACACCCAATATCTCAATCTAAGCATATAAATAGGGCATAAATGATGATATACATTACTCATAAGAATGCATGAGTCAACCATTACACAAGAGCACACAACAAATAAGATGCTTGGCTCAGTAGTAAGATGCTTACACTATGAAGGGAAGGTCTTGGGTTCAACTTCCATTGAGTGCGTACTTTTGTTTTTAAATAATCAAAGGCATCAAGAAAACTTTAAGGAAGGAAATAATCGGTTGTCATTAACATATGTTCAAGCATGCAGTCGATTATAATGAACACATAATCGATTGTTCCCTTAAAGATCTTCAAAAATACATTTTAAACACATAATTCTTGTTTTCTCATACATCCAAACACTCCAAACATATTCAGTAATTTCATAACACTCATAACACAACAAGCATAAAACACGCGACTTAATTCAACAAGAATTCATATAAATCTATCATGCATCCACAAGCAAGCAAGAACGTGAAATTCAACTTAAACCCCACATACATTCCTATAATATATCCCCAACAATGTCAAGCTAAGCTATGAACCCCAATAATGTTAAGCTAAGTTATTAACCCCACCTTTATGATAAAATCTATTTTGGAGTTGAGGATTAGATGATGTTGATGATGATCATAGTCTTCCTTAATGCTCTTCCTTTCTAGAATTGAACCAACGGCTCATGGGCTTAACTTGTAAAAGCTTAATTCACTTGTATCAAAGTTTCATGGGCATAACATGTAAAATCTCAACATTATAGTGAAATCTCAAGAAGATATCTTAGAGGGACATGACTAGCCCAATGTTCAATCAAACTTGGATAATTCTATGGTGTCATCTCTCGAGCCACCACTATGAAAAACCCATTTAACGGTTGGAAAATACATATAATCACAAAGGTCCAGACATTGTTGTGTATAGTATTATTGTAAATCTGTTACTAACAATCACGGTCCTGGGACCGTTGTAGTATACTGGAAAACACACGTGATATCACAACGGTTATGCTTACCAACCGTTGTGATATATACATTTAGGTACTGAGTTTGAAACCCAGTGTAACAAATAAATTACATTAGATCATAGTTACTATAAAAAACTGTTCTGGAACGTACCCATAGTTTATTATATACCAATTAATATTTGTTGTTTTACAATACACCTCATTAAATAATACAACCATTAAATTTGGTAAAGAACTATATAATCTGAAAATTAAATTATTCTTGAAAACCAACATTAACACACCACTGTATTCCAAATTGCATGCGTCTTTTAACACCCCGATTATTTATTTATTTATTTTAATAGATTAATTATTTGATGTTGTGTGTTTTCTGCATTGATGAGCACTATGTTGTGATTTATTTGGTGCAATGGATGGTTTGATGATATTATAGGTGGGGTAATGTCGGATTAATGTAGTAATGAGAATTATTCTGAAATTAAATAATATAGTTGGAATTATTTGGATGTTAGAAATAATCGTTTAGGATTTATTTAATAATTATATTAGATAATATTAGTAAAAATAATGAGGGAAAGATGGTCATTGCTTGGGGTTTAGCAAGGGTAAGAATGGAAGACTATAATAGGGGTCCAAGGGTTAAACTAGTGAAAAGGAAGAAGTGAGGTAGAGAACAATAATTTTGTACGATCAAATTTTATTGGAGATAAGAAAAGGCAAGGAGGTGAAGAGAACTAGGGCAAGAAGATCTCATTATTGAAGCTTAGGAACCGTCAATTCAAGGTAAGGGTGGGGTTCCAACTCTCTAAGGGTTAGTATAATGATGATTATTTGTGGGTAATCTGTTATCACCATTGGTAGAGTTTAAGGTTTAATTTTGGGTTTGTGAATGAATTGATAATGTAGTAATTTGTGTTCAAAATTGTGTTTTATAATGTATACCATGTTATGATTTGATACCCATAATCAGTATGATGATGTGTTGTTGTTGTGGTATGATTAAATGCTAAATTTTGATGAAATTGGGACTGCACTGTGTTAGAATCGTAAGGAATTGGGACTGAGACTGATGTAGAAATTGTAACAGAGGATTGTTATTTTGCATGCATCGTCGAGCGAGCCAATCGCGAGCGAGCCAGTCGCGAGCGAGCAGGCGAGCTAGTCACCTCTGCTTCGCCAGGTGAGCCAAGTGGCGAGCGTCTGGGTGGAAAAACAAGGTTCCTGTAAATTGTATGGGAGATGGTCTATCGCCCCATCTTCGACGAGCGAGGGGGAAGCGAAAGGGCAGCCTCGCCGGGTGAGGGAGCAAGCAAAGGATATGGCAGAATGGGGTGCTCCTGTAAAATGTACAAGAGTGTAGGCCTCGCCTATGCTTTGCCATGAGAGCCTGAGGTGACAGGCCCAGTTGTCAGGCGAGACTCAGACAAAGCGGTCCTGTAGTAGATAATTTTTGAAAACATCGAAAAACCATAATGTTTGACTCGGGTGTCCGTTTGGCACACTGTTTGAATCGTTGGAAGTATAAACATATTTTATATTCTATAAAAATACTTTCAAACATAATAGGTGATTACTTGTTGGTGTCTTATATCCTTTTGTGTGTAAATTTGTTTGTTGAGTTGAGACATATGTATGTACTTATGTTTAAGAGTGTTGTGTCATGTTGTTTGGACCATGTGATTGGTATGTTGTATGTGTGGATAGATGATAGTTGTATTGGTATGTCATATTGATAGATGTAGACAACAATGTGTGTTGTTTTGTTGCATGGTTGTGTCATATGCATTTCCTGTTAGAACTTCGGTCCTGTTCGTTGGCCCTGATCCTAGATGACATGGATCGAGAGTGATGTTGTTGGCTCTGATTCTAAATGGCGTGGATAGGGAGCAAGGTGAACCAAATTCTTCATGATATTGGTATCTCTGGTCCTATATGGCATGGATTCAGGGGCCATATTAATACCACATGCATTGAGTCGATGAGTTGGTCTCATTATATTACATTATTGATCACATGGTGTTTGTATTGCGTAATTGGTGTATGTGCTACATTATAATTGTTAATACATGTGATGCATCATGCATGATTGTATAGTATTATATGATAAGACTGTGATCATTATGGGAAGGTGTGAGATGTGAAATGTGTGACTATGCATGATTTACTTGTTGTATATTTATTATTATGCATTCTCTTATATTGTTGTGATATCTCGCCCTTCTGTTGGAATGATTCTTTATACGACATTGTGCAGATAGTCAGGAGTAGTCTGAGACTGAAAAAGATCAGAAGAGGTTGCTCTTCATTTACTTTCAAGTCGGTGTCATTGCTCTGATACATAATATCGGGGGGATGAACGCTATTTATTGTCTTGTTTATAGAAATTGTTTATATTATTAGGAACTCCTTGTGACTTTTAATATGTGTTGATTTATTTTAAAGAGATTGTTGGATTTCGAGTATGATTCTTTTATATATATATATATATATATATATATATATATATATATATATATATATATATATATATAGAGAGAGAGAGATATCTTCACTTATAGAAATAAGGTACTTCATAATGGAAGCAATATTTAACACAAGGTAGAGTGCAGAGCAAGACAACAGTGTTATGAAGGGGTAACTTTGCAAGTGGGGTATGGATAATGCCTAAATATTGCGCCAAATAACAATACCTGTTTCAAATAAGAAAACAATAAAATGTTGAATCACAAATTCACATTAACTTCAATATAGGGTGAAAGCTAACCCCTATGATACGATCAAGGTTAACAGGTCCCCAAGCTTTTTACATTGATGGATACAATGAAAGCTGGTAACTTATGATAGCAAAACCTGAATGGTTCAAAAGCAGACAATAACTAAGAAACATACCTATTAAAGTAATTAAGCAACAAACCTTAAGTATGTTGTTGATATTGCCATAACATTACCAACGTCATATATCGTAAAGTTCTACTCGCCCAACCTTCGGGGACTGACAATCCATAATGAGAAAACCTAGTTACAAGTAAAAGATATGTATAATTTAATTTACATCACAAAGTCAGTTACAGCTAAGTGTTTTGAATTGAATTTCAAGCATCAATAAAAAAGGCTGATGAGACAAATCTACACAAACACTTTCAGGTATTCTACAAACACGATATTTACAAAAAATACAATATAAAATTTACACATGAATTGAAACTCGAAACTAAGATAATAGATTACTTATCAGTACAAAACATGTGTCAGGAGAATATGATAAATGAAAAATAGTTAATACCATGTGCAAATGAAAAAGTGATTCCATGTTTACTTGTCTCCTGCTCCTTTGTAAATCCATAATGCTCTCGAAGAAGTTGATTGCGGTAGATCCAGCAGATCTAGTGTGTCCACAGCATCACTCAACACTCCATGCCAATTAAATACAAAACAAATTTGGTTAAAACAAAACTATTCATCGAATATTCACATAGCAGCAACAAATATTATACATATTGGTGATGAGTATTACAAGTATTATATCTTTTGAAATCAGTTACTTAGAGAATTGATACCTTTGGAGCATGGTGAATTTTCTTGAAGCCGTGAGTACGGATGACCTAAAACAGTTGCAACAGAAAATCATATATCATCATTCGAAATCATCAAACCAACACAAAAACCCTAACCACAACATTAAAACCCTAACTTTCCTGTTTTGAACATGTTGTGTTACATTCAACAAAAGATTGAAACTCATCATGAATCAGAGCTTCGTAGTGATTCATAACTTCGGCTATCGACTTACCGGTATCAATTGAAAATTTCACAAAGGAAAAACAATATGAAACATAATGAAACACAATAAAAAATCCTATAGTTAATCAAAATCTATTTCATTGCAATAAGCATAGAACAGTGGAAAAAATGAGAAAGTTTAGAAGAGATAACCTAAAGTGGAGGAAATTGAGCAGAGGGAGCAGGTCATTCGAGAAACTTTAATGAAGAGTGAAGTAGATCGGTCTAACTAGTCAAATCTTCGTTCACCATAACTCTTCGACGAGCTAGACGCAAATGGGGAAGAAGGGTTTTGGAGGTTCACCATCTTGAATGGGTTCAGAAGATTGAGAAGTGAGTGAGATTTGTTTTTTTAAACGGGAAGAGAGAGAGAGAGATTGATGGATGGTGTTTTGAGAGAGAAAGAGAAAAATAAAATGGATGAGAGAGAAAAGAGATATACAGAAGAAAGGACGTCACAAAGAGAGAGAGTCAGCCACAACAGTTAGGACGGGACTTGAAAAAAGTTGGAAAATTTGTATCTAGTATGTATACAATCGAGACATAGTTGTGAAAGATAATATTTTCAGTTTGGATAATTAGGAATAGTTACGTACCTTTTGCAACCAATGCACTTTGCATCAAATGTTTTGGTTCAATAGTTAATATTTGTGTGATACTGACCCAACTATTCCAAAAATTGATGAGGTGGAGCAAAAAGGAAAAAAAGCAAGATGATATTTTCTATAGTAGTTGATGTTCATATTGTTAGACAATTTTTTTAAATTAAGACATTGAAATATTCCAAACTAAAATAATAATTTCCCACTTTTTAATAAATTAATAAAAATATATATTCATAGAAATAAAAATAAAAATAAAAATAAATTTAAAATTTTGAAATTTTATTAATTCTGTGTGCATTATTATTTACTAAATTTTTCATTTTTTATCTTAAATTGAAATTCTGGATATTTATAAAAATATATACTCATAAAAATAAAAATAAAATATAAATATAAATTTGGAAATTTTACTATTTCTTTGTACATTACTATTTACTACAAATTAAAAAAACTAAAAACTCATAAAAATAATTAGACATGTATTACAAATGAATAAATTAAAGACTCATAAAATTAATTCGAAAAAATAGTATTCCATTTTTTTATTAAATTTATAAAAATATAATTTAAATTTAAATTTTTGAAATTTTACTATTTCTTTGTACATTATTATTTACTAAATTTTTAATTTTTATCCTAAATAGACATTCTTGATATTTATAAAAATATATATTCATAGAAATAAAAATAAAATATGTAACACCTCAAACTTATCATGTCCTAGGATAATACGTGTATGGCATTAAAATGGTATATGAATATCATACATAAGCAACATAACTGGATAAGTATCAGTACAAGTACAAAAGTCAAACACATCATGGCCAAAAATATATAATCCCAAAGTGTACTAATACATAATCCCTAAAATACATAAGCTGAAAGATACAAAAGGAAACAAAACATCACCAAGAAACATCACCGCAAGACTAAGTCATCTTACCCTTGCCCTTGTCCTGTCTCGAATAACTTGAAAATAATAATTGGAATGGGGTGAGAGTGAGTTTACTAAATCTCAGTGAGTCTCCATATCTTACGGGTTCGCTCGATTCTATAGGATGCATACAAATAAACGGATATGTCGTGGATCCGGGGTTTCCTCACATTCTGGTACAAACACACAACAAGGATATAATAAACATTGGAAGTCCCTTGACTAGTCAAAGAGATAACACAAGGCACACGTCCAATCATAAACACACAAGTATGAAATTTCTAGTACAACCATGTCACCATGATTGTACTAGCCCACCAGCGAGGGCCTAATGATATTTCCTACGTGGCATCACTAGGGGTGAGTAATCGAGTGACCTTACATACATGGTATCACAACCCCACTATACCAACATTCGGTGTTTTTTCTGCTAGAGGAAATGCCTTTCGCAGTAACACGATGAGTATACACCAGATCATTCTCATCCAACACTAGCATTTCCCAGTAATAAGATGAATATACACCAGATAATTCCCATCGAGTACCCGCATATCTCACATCGATTAATGAGAATACACCAGATCATTCCCATTGAGAGTGGTGATTATGCCCAGTCGTCCCTTCCCACTAATGAGTATACATCAGATCATTCCTATTGAGGGAACGACAAATGCAAATACACATTAGTATGCAAATAGTCACAACCTATCCACTGAGTATACACCAGATCATTCCCACGTGGAGGAGGACAATGTAATTTCACACAGATCTCAACATGCACATATGCCTAAAATTTTAACGCTAAATAATACATATACAAGTGCCATCTTTTATCCTATTAAGACACATCTGAATATTCAACTGAAACAAATGGAACCAAATACCAAGTTATCACAACATAGCATTTTCACATAATGCATTTATTAAGCATACATACATACAAGTAGCATAAGTGATCATAACATGGCATCACATAGATCATAGTATTAATCACACAGACAAAGAGGTATCCGGTTCACGATATGGAACGAAATTCGCACTAGGGGGAAAACACATAGTTTTGTCCAAGCATGTTCACTAAGTGAACTGGCAGCGAGGGCTCGATTCACTAATCAAAGCCCTGGAGAACGAAGTTAGAGACTTCACTAAGTTCTGAAAAATGATGTTCGCTAAGAAAACTCGTAGTGAGGTTCCTGCTTGCTAAGCGAAGTCCCAACAAACAATTTCTTTTCCCGTTCCAGATTGTCGCTATGCGATCACAGAGTTCGCTAAGTGAGGTTGCTTCACTAAGCTTCTTATTCAGCTGCATAACGTCTCTAAGCAAACCTTAGCTCTCTAAGCGAACACTATTGCATTCAGAAAAACATAAAAGTGTAGAATACAAATTTGGTGTTCCAAACCACAATCTCTTCACATGCAATCCACAATGATCAAACTACAGGTCATGATAATGATGCATGTACAAGTTATCATTTGAATGGGGTCATATTCATGCATGATCAAGGATTATTGATGAACATTTTCACTCAAGACCCTTATCCCCAACATAAATCCCCAAAACCCCAAGTCTCTAACTAGAGACTCACCTGATTGAAGAAGAAGAAGCTGCTACAACAAGAGTAGATGACGATGAAACAAGAGATTGAATTCGGTTCTTAAAGCATGCAACGTTTGGGGAAGATGGAGCTTGGCTATGGAACTTCTTCTCTTTTCCTCTCTTTCTCACATTTCTTTCTTTCTCTTCTCCATAAAATTCTAGTTTTGGAACAATAGAATAAATTAGACATATCCCAAACAAGGCTTAGTTATCCCACTCAAGAGGTGAATTATCCAAAATGCCCTTAAACACTTATTTAGTCTATTTTCTCTTCAAAATGGTTCAAACAATGTGATTTGGTACTAATTATCTCTCTAATAGTTTCATTTAATTTAACTAGTAATAGCCATTAGGGAAAAATTATATCGGGTATTACATTCTTCCCCCCTTAGAATAGAATTCGTCATCGAATTCAAAAAACTTCCCAGATTAGATGAGGATAAAGCTGCATATCTGATTCGAGCTCCCATGTAGCTTCATCAGGATGCGAATCTTCCCACAACACCTTCACAAGAGGTATCTCCTTGATCCTCAAAAATTTGCTAGCATGCTCCAAAATACAACAAGATTGCGGTTGAAATGAAAGGTATGGTTCCACTTAGATTGTATTCGGAAGGATATGATGAAGTGAATTCGGAACAAACTTCTGAAGCTAAAATACGTGGAATACGTCATGCAGCCCGGATAGTGAAGGAGGCAATGCTAACTGGTATGCAACTTCACCTACCTATCGCGTGATTTGATAAGGTCCCATATATCTCGGGCTAAGCTTGCGCATATTGAATGATCCTTTCAATCTTAACCTTGGAGTAACTTTCAAAAACACATGATCCTCTTTTCCAAACTCTAATGGTCTTCTCCTCTTACCCGCATAGTTCTTTTGGAGATCTTGTGCTTTCTTCATCTTTTCTTGGATCATTTTGATCTTTTTCGTTATCTCTTGAATTATCTCTGGTCCAAGAATTCCTCTTCCGCCAACTTCTAACCAACATAAGGGTGACCAACACTTCCTTCCATACAATACTTCATATGGTTCCATTCTGATACTCACGTGGAAACTATTTTTATATGCAAATTCCACCAAAGGTAAGTTATCCTTTTTATTTCCACCACCTTCTAAATCATATGCCCTCAACATGTCCTCAATGGTTTGGATAGTTCTTTCTGTTTGCACATCGGTTTAAGGATGACTAGAAGTACTCAAATTCAAACTCGTTCCCATCCCATTGTGAAAAGCTTTCCAAAACTACAAAGTGAACTTCATATCTCTATCTGATACTGATCTGACCTGATCAGAAGGTTTGGACCGTCACGGCTGCTCCGAGCTGAAGGCTTTTTGAACGAGGAGGGGGGGGTACCTGCAAGGCACTCCGATGCTTAAGTCAGTGGGAGTACTAGCAGATAATAGAGTTGAGGTTAGAAATGATGATTACCTGACCCTCTGGAAACAGAGGGTATTTATAGCCCCCAGCGCTGGGCCAAGGTTCCTTCATTGGGCTGGGCGGATTTGGCCCAATGGAGGAACTGCCAGGTTCTACGTGGGTAGTGGGGATCAGCACGTGGTCCCCTTCCTGGAGGTGCTGCGTGAAGTGCGGGCGGACAGAGACGCGGTCTTTACGGAGTATCGTTGGGGCAATGGTGACTGAGTCTGCCCTAGCAAGGTAGCTCGAGTCCATGTCGAGCAGTGCAGTACGGTGTCGAGCTCGACGCCAAGACCCCGAGCTGGACAGCGAATGTCGAGCTGGAAGCCAGGGCATGGAGCTGGACGGCAATCTGTCGAGCGTGACTTCGTCGCGTGGGCTGGACACTGAGATGTCGAGGTGGACATCAGGGTGTCGGGCATGGACGTTGTGGTCATTGGGTCCCATTGGATTGGGCCTTTGCCAATTGTGGTCCTTAGTGAGTCCCATTGGACTGGGCCTTAGTAATGCTTTTGGGCCTGTCGGGCACAGTCCAGAACAGGAGCCCCCCAAGTCGTGGTTCCTTTGCGAGGAGCCATGACTTGAAATCAAGTTGTTCAGTCGCTGAGGTCTCGTGCCCGGAATGGAGGCGCGGGCCCTCGAGGGGC